GGTCCTCCAGCATCAGCGATGACAGCCTTGAATCCCTTTCCAGCCTGAGCAGCGGGACCACCAGCCAGCACAGCAGCCTGGAGTTTGCTAGCCAGCGAGATTCCCTTCCTCTCCCCATACAACACACTACCCTCTAGTTCACTTCCAGCCACTGTGAAAGCTTCCAGGTTACTGCCCTTCGTTCAGAAGACTGTTTTGTTCCTGTGGATTCTTGCTGCCTCCAGTGCAGTAGCCTCAAGTACTTGCTGTCCGTGGCTGACTCTCCCACATTACTTGCTTACGTGCCACTCCCAAGTGCTCACTGTTACCTGCACTGCTAACACTGTTTCTCTTGTCATCAAGGATGGAGGTACGTGGACCTCGGAGGAATCCCAGCTACCTCTCTGATCTCTATCAGAACATGTTACAGGCTGAAGAGGCACGGAAGCGAGGGCAGCAGCAGCCCCCAGCAGTCCGTACAAGCAGCAGCACAACTCTTCGGAGCAGTGTCCCAGCCAAGGGGGACCCCGAGCCAAAGCAGCTCCAGAGCTGCGGCTCCTCCAGCTGTGACCCAGCACTGCGGCCTATCATTCGCCGCCGAGCCAGGTCTTTGCCTACATCGCCCGAAAGAAGGAAGCGAGCAGCAGTTCAGTGCCAAGTGCCTGGATGCCTGAGTCGTATGAACCGGGTAAGGTTTGCCGACGCTTTGGGCTTGGAGCTCACTGAAGTGAAAGTTTTCCAGACTGGGGAGGATCCATCCATCCCCTTGCATGTCCTCTCCAGGCTCTCCATAAACTCGGATCTCTGGTACAGCAGCTTGGACTTAGAGTTTACTATGCAGTGCTTGGTCCCTGACTTCCAGCAGCCTGCAGACTGTGTGGATTTTTCCTCCCGACTTCAAGAGCAGCAGGTGTGTCTTGAGCGAGTCACCAGCTCAGACCTGGGGCTCAGTGGCACCATCCACGTTCGCAACATTGCTTTTGAGAAGCGGGTGTCTGTGCGATACACCTTCAACCAGTGGAAGAGCCTCCACGAACTGTCTGCTCACTGGCACAGTAGCATCCTGGAGAAAAATGGGCAGGATCAGGTTGATGTTTTCTCTTTCTTTCTCCCCGTGCCTCCTTTCCTCCTTCAGCTGTGCTCTGTAGTCCAGTTTGCGGCAAGGTACCAAGTCAATGGCCAGGAGTACTGGGATAACAACAGAGGCAAAAACTACAGTCTCACCTGCCGGACTCACCCCCTTAAGATGCCTAGAGAATGTGAGGAGAGCTGGATCCACTTCATCTAACAAAGGGAGCGGATGCAGAGCAGCTTGTCAGTAGTGTCAGCAGCACTCTCTTCCTGGCATGGCTATCTGCTCCTGTGGCAAGAGTCTCCTTTCTGAAACCTTCCAAAACTGGTGAAGTGTTTCAGGGCAGGGAAGTAGTCAGTGACCCATACAAACTGTTCTAAACCTCTCAGAAAGTAAAAAGGGACAGAATGGGTATTGAGTTACAGCTGTTGGAAGCCTGTGATTTCTCATGGCGTATGAGTCAGTGCAGAATGGTTCCAGGGGATGCTGCCAGGCCACCAGACAGCAAATTGAGACACTTCATGTCGCTAGCAATATTCCAGGTTGCACAGGATATTTCTAACTGATTTATTTTACCATTTTGTACTGTCTGCTTTCTAAATGGACAATGTGGCCTTACTGGTTTTGTTTCTAATTTTGTTTATGTTATCTCACCAAGTCTCAGCACTATTCCATTTATACATAATTTGGATGGCAGACACTGTAGGGAATACTTTTTATATATATATATATATATATATAGTTAAGACTGTAACCATGCTAAATATTTCCATTAATATTTGGGTTGGAAATTAGATGTTGTTATGAGCAGAACACATGAAAATGTGCCATCGGCCCATCGGTTTCCCTTAAGAAAAGGCACCTTTTTTTTTTTTGTTAATTTTCTCTCCAGTGTTTGCAGCAGGCAGCTGGAATGACTGTTACTGAAGTGTGTGTAAGGCAGACCTTCATGGAGAAGTTCTCATCTTTTTCAGATGATGCATAGTATGCTATTTTTCTAGGTGGTGCTACAGGAATTGTCCTTTCCTTGTGCATCTGTTTTTACTAAGGGAGACTAGAGCCATTTTGCACTTGTGTTGCAATTGGAGTTGAAGATCTCAAAGTACTACATGAATGCTAATGATCTTACCACTGTTACTGGTAAATTATATATATATATGGGGAAAAAAAAAACATGCAACAGGGAGCTGGCTTTAGAATAGCATACCAGAATCCTGGCTCCTTGTTCCCCAGCCTCCCAGTACTAATACTTTAATACTCTGAGTTCTTTAATCAACTACTTCTCATTATAAACCAGTTGAACTCCAAGACTGCATCTTTTCAAAGCAAAATCATGATTTCCCTGGTAAACTGATACTTACATAGACCCATAAACAGAGTCTGTTCTGCAGCAGGGAGAGCACAGTAACAGTTAGATGCAGCCTTCCCATGCTTTTTGCTCTACTACTTGCATTCTGTGGTTTTAGTTTGGTTTAAATTTGGCAACAGGCTTAAATCTAGTGAGTGAAAGGCTGTGATTTTTTTTCATACGTACTCATGACTGCATTGGAAGTTCAGCCATGTACGTGTAGCATAAATTTCCAAAACTGGCTGGCTGTATTAGCAGAGCTGCTTTTCAGGACTATACAATGAAAATCAGGCCACTTATTCAGACATCTTATTTTGGTTTGCTGCTTATTCATCAAAAATCAGAAGTTGATTTTGAAAATCACCATTGTGAGCAACCCACAGCCCAAGTATATTAGTTCAAAAAGTTCACAGAGTAATTCTGGAAGTGCAGAAAGGCCAGAAAAATTCATGTGTCTGGCAACTTAATGTTACTCCTTAGTTGCCATACCCATTTAGCAAAGCCAGTATTTCAAGTGAAGAGCCTGCCTGGTTCCATTAGTCTTTCGCTTTCAAAGAAACCACGTCATGGACAATGATTCTGTGAGCTGCTGAGCACCTCTTCCACTGTACTGAGAAAACTCAGTCCTATTTGAAACCCTTGAGAATTCTGTTGTCTGCTTTTTGTACTGAAGCACTGTGAGGTGGAATGTTCAAGCTGAAGTTGTTTTGAAGGAATAGGTGAGGCTGAGGTGTGATTGCCAGCTACAGAGAGGAAAGAACGCTGCCTGCTTTCAATCCACCTCTGTTATTTTCTGTCTCTGGGTTAGAGGAATGGCCATTGCCAATCCACCAGCTACTCTTGTTGAAAAAGCAATGGCACAAAAAATGAGAGCTCTGGAAGGAGCTATCCAATTGTAAGGGGTTTTTGCCTCCTATGCTGGACTTTACATGCAATATGGGACATACTATATCTAAACTAGTCAACCTGTACTCTTCGTAGTTAATGGAGATGTTTTCACTGTAGTTAGCAGACTACCTGTGGTGTGACAAACTGTATCATCTCTGCTGAGTGCAGTGGGAACACTGCAGGGCTAGTTCTGCCATACTGAAATTCTCAGCATTAGTGCAGATTGTGCCAAATTATGCCAGAATCTGTAGATGTCAAGTTAGATGAGCTGAAACACACCTTCAGTGACTGCAGAACAATCTTTCTTGGCATGGATTGAAATGGCATACCTTACTTGGCTGACACTTGCTCACTTAAGGAATTTTGTTAGACTTCAACAATACTGGATAAACTATATAAGCAAAGTTTTATGTACTTGTCAGAGAAGTAAGAAGAAAACAAACACACACAGGCACAGAAGCACTTGTGCTAAATAAAAGGCACTATTTTGAAGTATTGTTTTCCCCCTCCCAAATCATTGTGTTTCTTCCATCAGCAGAGTCACTAAATTGCCTCTCAGCACACCATAAAAAGTTCCTCTCATGAGACGGGTATTTTATACCAGTTTACAATGGGTGTTGATGGAGCCCAATGCAAGACTTGGCTCGCTGGGAGAACGATGCTGTTGTCATCTCCTGGGAGAGATGCCTTCAGGTGCTGGCAAATGTCAAATCTGGGTCCTATTGCAGGCAGGGCCAGATTAAGTAAAGCTGAGGCTGTCAGTTTAAAGGTTAATGTCATGGGTACCACGGTGTCGGGGAGAAATGAAACATTAGCGTCTCTCAGGGGTATGAGTTTGGCTTCTGCTGTCCTTTTGCAACCTCTCAGGATATTTGGATGTGCAAAATACTGAAGTATTACACCAAGTTTGCCTTTTCTCTCTTTGCTTGTCTTCCACTGCTGGAGAAGAATTGACAGTAGCTGTTACTGAACCACTCGTCTGGCACTGCTGACTGTGAGTTGAGCATTTGACCTTATAATGGAACTGAGAGTGATCTCTGGGTTAAGCTGTTAAACATTCACGCAACTGTTGGCACCTGCCACATGAAAGATGAAATTTGCACTTGTGTTTTCCTGTCACATTCAGTAGTGAACATCAAAAGTATTCCAGTTGAGAAAATAGGGATTAAGCCATTAAGTAGTGTTAATACACACCTGACGTGGAGGTAAACCTATGACCACCTTTATAAATTCTCAGGACAACCTGACTACTTGCACTGTGTTCCAATGGAGCACTTCCCTTATGATGAAGATTTTGTAAAAGTGAATTCTTCACAAGGGTTATTGCCCTATAGTGCACTTTTAAAAGCCTGTATTTATTGTAGTCATAAAATAACTTTTTTGGTAGTCCACGGTTTCAAGGTTCTTTCAAGCATGTTTTTTAAATAACCATAGGGAATCCATGTAAATTAAAAGGGGTTGTCTTTCCTGATTAAATGTTTTGTCCAGAATGAAGTACTTTGCACAGCACATCAACAAAGCATATTTGCTAAACAGAAGGTCATTTTGATTTAGTGGAGTGTTGTAAGATTGCAAAGTGCATAATGCATTTTTAGAATAATAATAGAACTATGGCTATTGTAATACAGACAATTGTAATAAAAGCTTTTCACAATTTTATGTTGCTTTTGGCAATGGTACTTATGTTAGTGGTTAAGAAAACTCCTGAGGCAACTTAGTGCTGAGTTGTCCCTTACAGAGCAACATCCTTGGGGAAGTTAGGTGGGTTTGAGTTACTGAAAAATGAACAGTGCTTCATAAAAATACAGTGATTGGTCTATATAGCTGCAAAAAAATGACCAGGCTGCCACTTCTTACATGGAATTTGCTGACATTTCACCCCGGAGCTCTGTGCACACAGCACCTGCAGGATTGAGGTCCAGTGCTGGGAAAAGGCACACTGCCAGTTGATTCTAATACAGTTTCATGGAAAAGAAGAGAAAGGGGTTTTCTTCTAATGGCACTCCCCAAAGCTGTGCTAGACTGCACTTAACACACTCATTTCTGAGCCTTATAGTTGTGTTATTCTTTCTTCCATTTGTCCTTTCAGTTTTCAATGCTTCAGTTTTTCCTCTCAAATTCTTTTCACTCACAGGTTTCTTGAAAATATATCTACATATGGTATGTTAAGAGAATGTCCATCTCTGCAGGAAGTGGTTTATCCTTGATGTGTAATGGATCTCCATCGGTCTCAACAACATGCTTGATGCAGTTCAAGATTTGAATAATGTGTTGTCAGGTTCCTTCTAAAGCAAACTGGAGACATTTCAGCAGATGTTATTTGTAAAGACGTATATGACCATCTACTTTTTAATCAGCATTAATAGCTTCAACAGTGCATTGTCAAAGTTGCTTAGGGGAAAGATGATGATACACGTAGATGCATAAAGGAGGGTGCTTTTAGGAAACATGGCATTGGAGGGTGTTTATGGCTCTGTTTTTCCATTTTTCTTACTACCAATCTGAATCAGAACTAGCAGTACCATCTTAATTGTCATACCATTACCCACTAAAATAGACTATGAAGCATCACCTGGAAATAAATGTGGCAACCACAGTGTAGATTAGCCAGGACACCAGCAAAGGATAAAGGTAATAGTTACTAATCTTAACAAATCACTTGAAAACAATGTGAATTTGTTTTAGCCTTGGAAGTGGGGATGTATTTAAGAGAAGGACTGGCTTTTGCTGTGAACATCCAACCAGTAGGTTTCTCTTACAGGTAGTTAGTGTTATTTTTAATATCGGTGTTATTTTTAGCTTTAGTTCCAAATTCATAGTTTCTTTGTATTTATCTTACAAAGAAAAAAAAAGTTAAATTCCAACTTGTAGTAATAGTAACATGCTAACAGCCAGTTATAAATATAGTAATCAGTACAATGTTGTATGTACTTTACAGCATTGCCTGGTAAAGACACACAACAGCAAGTCTAAATGATTA